GTGCAATCGATCATAACCAAGCCAAAAATCTCAATAATCTCAATTTAGCTTTTTCGTGTTGGCTTGTATTAGGGTACCAGCTCATTGGGTTTTATTATTTACAATGTTATAAATTGTATGTATTTGTTACCACTTTAATTCAGTCTATTAATATTATTATTATTAATAGATTTACAGTTGCGTCATACTCTTTTTAGTGCTTTCTCCTTGAATTATAATTAAACTGTAGTGGCCGCCGGGGCGTATACTTAATCTCTGAAATTACGTATACGCCGCGTGGTATGATATTTCTTTTACCTTTTAGTTACCAATAGCTCGATCAATGTAAAATAATAATATGTAAATCTATTGAAAGCTTTTCTGTACTAGTTTTTATAGGGCTAACAAATCTACATACTATTTTTTTTTAATTTTTTTTTTTTTTTTTTTTTTTTTTTTTTTTTTCTTTATTATTTATTTACAATCTGTCTAATTAACAATAGGTAAATTTTATGAGGAGTGTTAAGCTAACAGAAATAGCAGTTCTCCAGTGAGCTCTGCTATTATATATTTTACATATTTACAGTAGTTTAATTTATCTGTCGGGGAGATCGAGAATGTGGTATCTTTTCAGTCTTCTTACTGTTAAACTATTGTCCACTAGATTTAAGGCTAAATTGTTTTCATGGTTATGGAGTCTGTCGATGTATTTTTACTGATTTTATTTATTTCTTCTTTTATGGTTGGGATGTTGAGGTCTTTGTGGATGTTTGCATTAGTTACGTAGAAGGGAGCATTGACAATTTGTCTCAAAGTTTTGGATTGGTAACGCTGAAGAATTTCAATATTTGATTTGCTAGCAGTTCCCCAGAGCTGTAAAGCGTAGGTCCAAACAGGCTTTAGTATGGCTTTGTAGAGGCGGATTTTGTTTTCCAGAGAGGTTTCTGATTTGCGACTTAACAACCAGGACATTTTTAGTGTTTTAAGTCTGAGCTGCTGACACTTTGCTTTGATGTGATTTTTCCATGTTAATCTGCGGTCGAGATGCATCCCGAGGTACTTCACACATGTAGTTTGTGGAATTGGTGAGCCGTTAAGTGCAACATTAGGGCAGCTGCCTGGTCTTAATGAAAAAGTGATTTGGACGGATTTTAGGGAGTTGATTTTAATTTTCCATCGAAGAAACCAGTCTTCAATTAAGCTTAGCTCACGCTGCAGGAGTTCAGACGCTTCATTTTTGGATGTGCTTGTAGCCAAAACGGCTGTATCATCAGCATATGTTGCTACAGTGCATGTGTTTGTACCTGGCATGTCAGCCGTGTATAGGGTGTACAGAATTGGCCCCAGTACGCTTCCTTGTGGGACGCCTGCGTTAATGCAGTTTAGCGTTGATGAGTCGCTTTTCTGCTGCACGTAAAAGCATCTTTTAGTCAGATATGACTTGATTAATAGATAGTATGGGGCAGGTAGCCATTTCTTTATCTTGTACAATAAACCATTGTGCCAGACTCGATCGAACGCTTGTTGTACATCAAGAAACGCAGCAGTGCAGTATTTTTTGTTTTCAAATGCAGAGACTATATCATTAATGACCCTGTGACATTGCTCAGGTGTCCCGTGACCTCTCCTGAATCCAAATTGATATTCAGGAATGATGGAAAGCTCGTCCAAAATTGGCAACATTCTCTTCAATAGTATTTTTTCAAATACTTTCGAGAATATTGTCAACAGACTAATGGGACGGTATGAGGTCAGTTCTGTTTCTGTTTTGAGTGGCTTTAGGATCATAATGATCTCTGCGCATTTCCATTGACTTGGAAAGTGATCTAGTCTGAGAATTGCATTATATATGAGAGTGAGAAGTCGAATGCATTTTGGTGGTAAAGTTTTTAGGGTGATGCCGTCTATTTTGTCAGGGCCTGGTGTTTTTTTGTTGTTCAAGCATTTGATTTCTGTCACAACTTCTTCATACTTAATGCTTTTGATAGGCAAGCTCATTTGACAGGGTGACTCAAGAAAGTTTTCGATTTCAGTCTCTGTTATTGGGTTATTGATGTCGTTTGGCTGAAACACGGAATGCAGATGTTGGGCAAATGCTTCCGCTTGTTCTTTATCAGACCTGCACCATCTTCCATTGCCTTTACGAATGTTTACGTTTCTTTTAGTTGGTCTCTTTAGGTATTTGGTCGCCCTCCATAGGTTGTGTTCGTTGTTGCAGGAGTTTGGGTCAAGGTTTCTCAAATACGCAGCTAGAGATTCATTGCGTAAGTTCGACAGCAGTTGTCTAAGCTCAGATGCAGCCTTGTTGTATAATCTTTTATCAGCAGGGTAGTGAGTTTCTTGCCAGCGTTTTCGCAGATTTCTTTTATTTTGTATTTTTTGTCGAAGTTCGGTTGAAAGGTACAATTGATTTGGTTGTTGAAGATTAGGAGCATGATTCGTGTTTCTATAGCTCGCTTTATGAATTGTATTTGTGAAAAGCTCCACAGCATAGTCTATCTCTTCTCCTGTTTTTAACGAAATGTCCAGGCTTACAGCTGAGTCCAAATAGCTTTTAAATGCGTTAATGTCTGTAGAGGCTGTAATGACTTTATAGGGCTTTTCCAGCATATGGGCTATTGTGCTGTATGTTGCTATTATTGGAGAATGATCTGAGTTAAGGTCGAAGTTTTCCATTACACGCATGTGTGATTGTGGAATTCCAGAGAATATTACGAAGTCCATTAGATCTGGAATTTTTTGATTATCTGTTGGCCAGTATGTAGGCTTTCCAGTTGACAATGTGGTAATATTATTGTTTCGTATGCATTTGTATAGCTCCGATCCTTTCGGGTTTGTCAGTCTGGATCCCCACCATGGATGTTTGGCATTGAAGTCGCCTCCCACAATGAACTTTGTTCCCAGTCTTTCGAAAAAGTTTTTAAAATCCGGTTCTTTTATTGAGAATCTTGGTGGGAGATAAATCGCTGTTACTGATACGTCAGCATGCATACATTTTATCTCAATTGTCGCAGCCTGTATGGCATTTTCTCTAGTACTGTCCATGATTTTAAATTTAAGGCCGCGCTTGACAATAATTGCGGCACCTCCATGAGCTCTATCTGACGGATGGTCAGCTCTTACTGTATCGTATCCAGTAATTTGAAAATAAGATTTGCTAGTGAAGTGTGTTTCTGAAATGAGCATGACGTCGATGGCATTTGTTTTTAAAAATAAAGTTATTTCATTTAAATGATTGGAAAGCCCGTTGGCATTCCATATTCCTAAGTTTAGATTTACTTGCATAACTTATTTACAAGTAACATTATCATGTTAAGTAAATTATTTGTTAGCTCGAATTGTTTCTCTAGAAGCTGTTCTATTTTTTCTAGAGACGCGTTCGAGACGCTATTTCCTGCAGCAACTTGAGCGTATGATTGGAAGTCTTTGGGTTGTTGTGTCGAATTACTAAACGGAGCAAATGATTGAGATGTACCAAGGTCATTTTATTATTGTTATCTTTGGTGTTTTTCAGGTGGTTGAGTCCGCTTACAAATTTTTTTGATATAAGTTCCTGATAGACTTTGCACCCTTTGTAGCTAGCAGCATGATCTTCTTTGCAGTTGGCACATTTTGCTGGTTGCTCTTTATCTTTTGGACAAATGTTGCTGGGGTGGTTAGAAGAACATTTCACGCACCTGTGAGTTTTGGCACAATATGACTTTGTGTGTCCAAATTCCTGGCATCGATAGCACTGAACGATCTCTTTAGTTTTGCGGGGAGGTTCTATGTTAACAACAGCGTTACCAATATATTTAACTTTGTAAATGTCTAAGTTCTTATTGTTGGGCTCAATATCTAAGAAGAACAGATTCAATGGCTCTTTAGTTACACGACTTTTGATATTGCTAATGTTTCTTACAGTGTGGCCTTTGGACTGTACATCTTGTTTAATTAAATCGATATCCGTAGAGAAGTGCAAGTTCTTAATAACGACTCTGAATGCCCTTTCTTGTTTAAGCTGGTATGTGTGGAATTTGACAAGGTCTGTAGTAAGGGTTTTAACAAGTTTCCTGTATTCTTCAATGGTCTTTACCATTACTCTCACATGACCATCGCGTTGTACTTTATAAAAGAAGAGCTCTTTTTTAGTTTTAGACTCGAGATAAGCTAGCATTCCTTTAATATCGTTGACTTCAGATAGGAATATAGGTGGTGGCTTGGCAGATTCATCTAAGGTGTCTTCAGTTATTATATCCAGTGTTTCAGTTTCGTCTTCATTTCCGTTATTTGGCGTGCTGTCGCTTAGGAGAGAGAATTGATTGGTGCTGGTGCTGGAGCAAAGTCCAGAGCGATTTTTTTCTTTAGCAATATTGGAGAGTCTTGATTTGGTCTCTTGATTGCCTTGGGTTTCGGTTTTACACTCTGCCAGCTCCAAACCTTTTTGTCGTCTTCGTCGTCGTTCATGGTAACAACAACACTTTCTTGATGCTTATCAGCAACCACTGATTTGTTTTGTTTTGTGTTTATAGTTGAATTTATTATTTTATTATTTTTTTTTTTTTTTTTTTTGTTTAGAGTTTGGAAAATTGAAAATGTTTATTTTCGACGGGTCATAGCTAGATCGACTTATCTGTTGATTCTGATCAAGAATGTATATGACTTATAGGGTTGGAAAAGACTCCTTCACTTCGTTTCAAGCTGCTGGCTAAAATTGTAATACCTTGAAAGGGTATAATAAGCCCTTACTTTTCCGTTGCATCTTCATGTTTCTCTCTCCACGAAAAGGGTACGTGCTGATAAGCCGGAATATCCTTTGACAGTCTCATCCGCAAAACAAAAGCCTTATCTGCCTGCTCTTCAGACCTAGCATGCCATAATTAAATGAGCTCTCAAGGGGTTCCTCTCAAAGGGGCAGAGCATTTGCTGTCAGTGTTATGTTTTAGACAGCAGTTTACTTTTTGGGCTAGAGTTTCGATTAACCTTTCGGAATCTGAGTGGAAATTTTTAATACAAAATTCAAACAAAGAAAAAAGTGCAGGATGAATAGACCAGGAGACAATCAGCAGCAATTGCAAGGTCAGCAATCGCTTCCAGTGCCGCAGAATGGTCCGGTTATGTATGGCAGTGGGATCGTCTTCGGTGGCAATGTGTATCCCGTGTTGATCGATGGCGTGCCCATCCAGCCTCCAGCGGGAGCTCATCAGGCGGCGGTCCAGCAACGCATGCATATGCAGCCCATGCAGCAGCCTTCGGGCGATCATCAGATGGTGGCGCAACAACGCATCCCGATGCCGCAGGGGCTCCAGGGTCCCCATCCTCACCAGAATATTCCTAAGCCGCTGCCACATCGTCGGGCCTATCAGCAAATTGATGCCCCAACAGGGAGTAGAGGTCCTTCAATGAGCCAGCAGGTGCGACCGTTTAACAACCAACAAATGCAACTGCAACTGCAACAGCCACTGCGACCGCAGCAACAGCTGGCGGGAATGGGCAATGGTTCCTTCAACTTCAACCATCAACCGAGTGCTGGTGGCGACTTTTCCGGAGGATGGGACGGTTATGCCATGTGGCAGCCCATAGACGTTAACAAATCCTACGCGATCGGCTGGAATCCATTCTAAACGCTGTCCATCTCGAAGTAGCTTCAAGCATTAAAGTGTGGAGTCTAGTAAAACAAATCAAGTGAAAAAAGAGCTCCGTTGCTTGGGGATGAATCCCTTTGGGGGCCGGAAAATGCAGCTTGTTCCTTCTGCTTGCCATAATTTTCTCCCACCCATTTGCCCTCCGTTTTCGCACTTCATCGAGCTCTGAGGCTGCTGCCCTCAGTGGGTTGAGCTGCCGCCATTCCGAAGGGTTGGTCTCGTCATTTAGTGGTGAATTTCCGTCTTAGTTGGCAACGAACGTCAGACGTGACATTTTGCAAATTTCGTTTTCAGCATTTTGTAATCGTTCTCGCATACGTGGCCCCACCAAAAGGAGAGGTAGAGGATTCCCCGTGTCGCCACCGAAGCTCCTGATGCGGTCCTGTTGGTGACACTTGCTCAGGTTGAACGAATTGCAGGAGATGCATGTGTGCAAAGTGGGTTTTAAGTGGTTTGGTAGTGGTTTCCGATTTTTCACTGGCTCTGCCACAGCTGATGATGATACCCTTAAGAGTCACAGATGACTTATGCAGATAATTTAAATACCAACTAGCGTTTTTCCGTTTTAAAGAATGTTTAATCAATTATTTCCATTTAACAGTACATACTTGGCTTCCCTTTAAACTAACATCTGTAAAGAAAACATAAAGGTTTGTTAAAATGGCTTTACATTTAATTAAAGTTTCCAAAAGCCATGTAACTTCTATTAAAATCAGCTTTGAATCTCTGCAAATTGTGTTAATTAAACCCCTTGAAATGTTCAGAATGTTCGCCTTGTCCGGGGATCAGGTTCCCATCTTTTTCTGTGATTATTAACATAATTTCTATAAATAACTTTCTTTGCGGCGTACCACCAGAGCTAAGCTCTTGACGTCATCGGACTTCTCTTGGAGAAATTGTAAGCCGCCGGTTGCATGTTGGCAAAACACATATATGCTCACATACGTTGCACACAGTATGCTCTCCTCTCCCTCCCCCTCTCTAATGATGATCCCTAAAGTCAACTTGCTAAAGTAACAAGAGCCCCAGCATCCGCACACATTTGCACCCTGAGACAGCGGAGCCATAAGCACACAGTGGTATTAACGCCATAATTCGTAAGTTACACACACACACACTTACACAGAGGCGCCGCAAAAAAGGATTAAGCTATATTAAAGTTGTGAGCGCTGCACATAGAGTTCGCCTCCTTGCGGCCTGGCCAAAGGAATCCGCACAGGATCTTCGCCGGCATAAAGAACCCAACCAACCGACCGCCCGACCCAGCCCAAAAAGTCCGAAAAGTGCACTATGCAAATTTCATCTGACCCACATTTATATAATAATAATATTCGGAACGCTGGGCACGCTTTAAATGCAATATATGGCATAAGTTTACGCATTGCTATCAACTCTGGCAGAAAAAAAGGACCCCTTGTCCGGTATAAATTTGCCATATTTATACTCTTACTACTTGGAGTGTTATAATTTCAGTTTGAAGGTTGAAACCATGTCCAAGAACAATTGTCAAAAAAATATTGATAAATATCGATTCAAGAATGCTAATATATTAAGCTTAATTATGATAGTTAATCATTTCGATCTAATTATGCAATTAATAACTGCAAGGGTATATAAACCTCAGCTATACAAAGTTAGTTTCCTTTTTTGTTTTTATTTATTTGTTCTCAGTTACTGGTATTTTTTTGCAGCAACTTACAGGTCAAGTGTTAATTTTATTTTCAGTTTTCTTTTTCTTCGACATTTTTTATTTCTCTCTTTGCTGTGTAAGTCAACTTTTAAAAGAAGTTTAATTTAAAAATGCATTCATAGTGACTGGGAATGTCTTTTTTTTTAATCAAAAGCAAAAGTAACAAACTGAGAACTACTTAATAAAAAGCAATAGAATCAGAGGAAATGGGATTCAAATGCATTGACAAGTCTTTCTTTTGCCTTTTAGCTTCACTTCATTTATTTAATTGCAGGACAACAGCCCAAAATGTAATGGAATCAGTACAGTTTATAGGTGCATTGCTCCCTTATGTCCCAAGGTCCTGCACTTTCTGTCTGGAATCAATGGTGATTGTCCGTACATATCGAGTCTGATTAGATTGGATGTTTCGATGCAGAGCTACGAAGACGCATTCCAGCAAATTTAATCCGAAACCTGTCATATAAAATTCACGTTGCCGATGCTTTTTAACACTTTGCCAAAATATGCTTTACGACCCCAGCGTGTCTAATAAAACTTATATGTCTGGGAGCCATAAAAAACCCACGTAGCAGTAGAATTCCATACCAAATGGCATACGAATCTTAGGCCAGACCATTCAAGGAGCCAACTTGTTGAAGTGTTTATTGTTTAGAATCCCGCGGCGTCGGCAACGAAATACATAAAACATTTTTGTTGTAAATAAAGATACGCAGCTACGCAGACTTTCGGAGTGCGAAATATAACCTTTCAGAGAAAATAAGATTGCGGAGATTGCTTGGAAATTGTATACTTGTTTTGAGTAGCAAAGGGTTTCTGGGAAAAAGGCAGCTCCAAAATATTTCAATTAAGCTAGGAACACCTAGGCAATGATTGTTCTAAAATAAATAAATTTAAATATTGCTTCCAGAGTTTATTATATTAAAATCACATGAGTAATCCAAGCAGCAGGTGTCAAAAGTTGCCAAGTATTACCCATTCACACTTATATTTTGAACCCAAGAATGGAGAAAAATGCTAACCGAGTCCGACAGACAGCTCGCACATCACGGACGTCCCGGCGGATGCGGCAATCCTTGACGAATGAGAAGAACAAGGACACCATCGAGGAGGAATCGGTGGAACAATGGCCAGAAAACAGAGTCATTCAGCAGCGCGTGTTCCTCTATATCCAGCTGAACGAGGTGATCAACCTACCAGACAACGGCTACCCGCTGGAACTGCACCTGTACCATGCTAAGAGTTCGCTGCTGAAGATGCAGGAGCGGTATACCACCAAGACGATTATCTATCAGAAAGAGTTCAATCTTAAGAAGCCCGTCTTCACTTTGGGGGTGATGCAGGATGACATTGAGGAGATGAACACGTTCAGTGATAATCCGTTGCTGATTTCGCTCTACCAGCGTATTCCCAAGCATCGCAAAGGTGACTCGGACAGGACCAAGTTGAGCCAACTGGATATATCGCCCTCGGCTACAGATGCGTCGCAAGCAGTGGTTCGAAAAAGTCAAAGAAATCTCGCAAGTCAATTACAAAGAGTACCGATAACTCCATATCACTGGAGGAAGAGGGCGAGGAAGGTGAATATGTGGAGGAGCGTCTGGAACTGTTGTCCAGGGGCAACTGCGATTTGCTGCAACTCTTCCAGCGTCGTCGCTTCATCAGCGACATCAACATTCTCCTATATCCAATGTACCAGGGACCCGGGCGACAGAGTTCCAAAGAGAGAATCACCTCGACCACCGTTTGGCACATGTACTCCATCTTGCCCATCCTCAAGAATTTTGATTTCACCAACCTAGCCTTCGTGTCCCTGGAGTCGATCTACAATGTGCCCAATGAGCTACACGAACAATCTACTGACCTGGTCATGAGCGTGTCCTTCCGATCGACGCAGCCGGAGGGTGAGAATGGTGACTTCCAGACCATCCCTTTATGCACCTTTACTGGCTTTGGATCACAGATCATCAGCGACCAGAACACAAGTATCGTTTGGGAGAGCCTCAAGCGTGATTTGAACCCCACGTGAACTTTGGTTTCAACCAAATGGAGACCAGTTCGCGGATCAAGCTGCCTCGCCTGTTCCGGATGCTGCTGTGGGATCAGGATGTCAACTTCTTTATCGACGATATCGATCCTTTGACAGATATGGCGCTCATTAACAACTCCCTGCACCGCTTCGTCATCAACGAGGATATGCGAAAGATCCTTGAGGATTCTGTGGTGAATAACTACTATGAGCTGGTGCTGCAATTGTACAAGGACACACCCGATAATGTCCTGTACGAGGGAGTGATCAATCCAAGTATCTTTGGTTATCCAGGCGGTGAGTGATTGCAGTAGAGAAATATAAATAAATATCAGTAAAGTTTGAAATAATTCAACTAAACTGACTTATCTCTCCCTAGTCAATCATTGTCGATTTGGAACCCGTTTAATACAAGTTAATGTCGATTCTCCTCCGCCATCCGAAGGCTATCGAATGGGTCCAATGTTCTGCACCTTCAAAATCTGTTTCTTTCAGCCGATTTGCGAACGCAACGAACCCCTTGATAAGTTCAACGAGAGTCTACTGAAAAGGAGCAAGCTGCGACGCTGCTTTGACATTCAGCTCCTGACGATGACGAGTACGGCAGGATTTGCTCTCGGAGCTATACCGAGAATTCGACAAGCTCATCTCCGACACGATTCAGGTCATCGTGAAGAAGAATGTGCACAGCATCGAGGAGAAGAGTGATTTCTTCTGCTGTCTGCTGAGTAACCTGACCAACCTGCTGATGAAAATATGTGGCTGTGATTTCAACATTCGAATGCCACGAAAACGAACATTGAGTTTAGGGTGAGTTTAGAATTTATTGTAATTATATATTAATATATATTTTAATACTTTTATTAAGGAAATGCTGACACACATGTACAAGGAGTTGATAGATCGTGTTCGAGAAATCCTCAATACTGCCCGCTTTGAAGGTTTTCCAGCTCTCAAACAAGCAAGGATCAGAATATGATTCGTTTAATGGACGAAATGCGTCTGTTAGGCAACAGTGGCCAGCGGATCTGGCCATAAATATGTACGATGAGATCGACAGAAACCCACCAGCAGAGTAAACTTTGACTTTTTAACTCTGCTGAATAGTGTGGAAAAACCTGCAGTTCGAGCAGGCGGCGAAGTTTTTCACAAAGCCAAGGAGCACCGATTGGAGAGGGGAATACTTTATGTGAGTGTGATTTAAGAGAGAGAAATAATTTTAAAATATTTCCCTGTACCATTACAGCTTGCTTTTAGAGC